ATTTTTACTTTACTTAATGTCACTGTTAACATTTGAAAAGTAAAATATCTATGATTTTGGTTGTATTTGAAAATATTGTGAAGTGCTGTGATTGTGCTTTTTTAATATTTTACTATGAGTAGCCTTAGATGCAAAATCTAGTATCATCGACATTCTTCAGACTCCATGGATGTCATTTCGAGCACAATCAAGGTAATAAGCGGACTAAAGAAGTGGCCACATGGCAGGGAACATGGTACTGATATATGGAGTTAATACCTCATTGGATGAACATAGGCGCACAAAGGTTCATTTTTGCGCAATATATAAGAAGTATTTTCCTCTTACATCTTTATGATTGCTATTCGTTTTGTATTATCAAGTTATCACCGCTATTTTTTGCCAATTAATCCATGAGAAGTAAGGGATGCAATTATTATAACCAGAACAATCCTAGAAAGAGCTCAAAAGAAGGGACTTTAAATATTCCTAATAAAAAAAATGGACAAAGAATCACACTAACAAAATCACACAAAGAAAAAAAAAAAAAACCACCTGAAGAATATATCATAATGTTATAGGATGTCACATTAGTTGGAACTTCATTAAATTTTCATGCTGAAACTATCAAGTTTGAATTTAAAAAAGAATGAGAAAGAGGTATGAGAAGCATATGGATAATTATTTTTTATTGTGTACTTTATTATGTAAAAAAAAAAATTTAACTTGTGTGTTTAGGGCATATGTTAGGTATATTTTTTGTCATAAATTTATATGAAAAATACAAAAATTGATGTTAATTTTAATGTTATTGTTGCTAAATAAATTTAATTAGATATTAATAAATAAAATATCATTTTTTATCCTTTCAAGACTTTTAAAGTATAAATTAAAAAAAATTTATATAAAAATAAAAAAAATATTTTATTGTATGCTTATCATGTTAAAAAATATATATTATTTCTCCTTGTCGTCAAGATTCTCCAATTCCTTTTTCCTCAACGTACTCCAATGTTCATGCATTTTTTCCCTAAAATCACTCTCCTTCCTTGAACTTTCTAATGAAAGCATCTACTCATTTCCACTACAATAACCAATGTCCTTTTCCCCACATGAGACTACCTAGCTAGAAATTAAAAGCTACTTTGGTTTTTTCCTATTGTTTGAATCAGAGCATCAGCCACTTTGTTGATTGGCTAATGAGAAATATTGAGACTTGGTAGACGGGACATTGAATTGGAGCTATGTTCACTTTGTAGCTAAAGCTACTTTGGTTTTTTCCTTATCGATGGAATCAGAGAATGAGCCACTTTTGTTGAATGGCTAATGAGAAATATTGAGACTTGGTGGACGGGGTGTTGAATTGGTGCCGTGTTCACTTTGTAACTTAATAATGTTAATTTACATATATAAGTACAATTCATACAAAAACGTTACTTTCCATATACCTAATTGTCTCAGTTTGAAAGCACTTTAATTTCTCCCATATTAGTATTACTCTAGACCTTGTTTCGTGAACAATGAGGCACTTTGACTCACTGTTGATTGCTATATTCCTAGATAATATCTGGAGATATATTATGTCATAAAAATCAAACAAGCATAGAGAAAATGTTAGGAATTTATGTCTCCTCTCCTTTTACAAATTAGATGGATTTTTTTTATACTATTATGAGAAAATGGAGCATTCCAACTTTTAATCGAGTTATGTTTCTATACCTAATTTTTGTTAAATATTTTTATTTTGATAAAACTATATCTATGATATCATATACAATTATAAACTTACAATTATAATGTAATATTAAATAAGTGAAAGGTATAAATCTTTTATCAAGAATCTAAATTGTTTCATTAAGAAAACAGAAACAATGTCAGAAGATTAAGTTCATATAGCTGATCTTTATTTGTCTATGTACTTCACTAACATCATAATGACATTTTTTAACAACTTTAATTTACTGTAAGTCTATGTAAGTTATATTTGTGGTGTTTCTCATTTTTCAGCCAGCTACATTTCTTGTTATAGTGTCCTAATTTCTTGCTTGATTTAGCTATTTCAAGAAAATTCACAGTTAATAGTTGATTTGTGACAACTAGTAATTGTTTATAATTCAGTCTTTTGTGGAAACCATAATTAACATGAACCAACATAAGAAACCTTCAATGAATGTGATAGAAAAAGAATTTTATGATTTATAAACATTTTATTGGTTAGAATACTATTAATGTAGTATTCTATTATTGTAATGAAAAATTCTTCAACTGAAAGACATGGAATAAGTTAAGGTTTTCTAGAATAGTGGACTATATATTAACACATGGAAAGTGTAGAGAAGAAAGTTTTATGTGAAACTATAATTAGTGTATAAAAAGTGTCGAGAAGAAAGTGGAAAATTAATTGCTCTAATATTTGTTGAAAAGGAATGAAAGAAAAAGGGGAAGGGGAAGTCATCGTTGGGCTAGAAGCATGTGGTGGGGGTTTAGTATATCATCGAGTGGAATAAGTCAAGGTTTTTTGGAATATCTATTAATGTGTGGAAAGTGTAGAAAAGAAAGTTTTGTGACATAGAATAAGTTAAGGTTTACTAGAATATTAGATTATATATTAACGTGTGAAAAGCATATAAAAGAGAGTTTTGTATAAAAAGTATAGAAAAGAAAGTAAAACATTAATTGATCTAATACTTGATGAAAAGGAATGGAAACAAAAAGAGAAAGGGAAGTCATCGTTGGACTAGAAGCATGTGGCATGGGTTTAGTATATCAAATTAATTGGATTTTTTTCATCAAAAAAAGATTGAATTTTGAACAGAAACAATGCATAAAATCATGTGAAGAGCAATTGCATTTCTTGGTCATTATAATGTATACATATATTGATGGAAAGGTTAGGTCATGATCATTTCACTCTAAATGAAAATAAATATTATAAAAAAGGAAAATCAATGTTCCAATGGAAACATCACACATTAATACGTCATGAAAAGCGTAGTCAAATATTAATAATTTATTTGTTATTATTCTCTTCTTTCTTATTTCCCCTGTTATATTATTTATTTTTAGTCACTCTTTACACCTCCCACAATCATTCCATCATTACATATCTTTCTTTGGACACAACTTCTTAATTTCATATAAAACCATAAATTGTATTTCTATCTCCTTTTATTACTATTATTATATGTCATTACCTATCAATCATTAGATACCTTTTTTCCTTAAAAATAAATTGTGACTGAATTATGTGTTATTAGATACAAACTATAAATTGAAATTAATTTCATATATGAGTGGAATTAATTAAATTTCAACTTTTTAAATAAGTTTTCTTTAAGAGATTCATTATTATTTAAGATTGTATGAAGATTTATTGAATATTTTAGAAGTTT